CTTACTGTAACCATCCAAACTTCCCAAGATCACACTAGTTATCAAGTTACATAGCCCCCTTCACTCAACTTGTTCACTTCTCGGGACCACCTAAAGTTTCTACAAGGACTGGAACAAAGGCAGACCAAGTAACATGCCTTTCACTACACCCTTGGCATCCTGTACAGTCTCCAATCACTCACTATAAAAAACTTCTTCTAGGTGGCTATCCAAACACCTCTAAATTTTGGCTTGAGGAAAAGAACTTCTATATATTTTTTGAAAATTCAACCTTTATTAATGGGAAACAAGTTAAATCCCAACATAATCCAACAGGCCCACTCCAACCACTAACTACTGCCACTCTCAGTGGCACCCTCTTTGCTTGGGAAAATGAAAACAATAAATTACAACATCTCTTCTCCATAGATACTGTTTTCTGCTTACAAAAGGTAGGGCTATTTTTCCTATGTGGAACTAACATGTATCTCTGTCTTCTCACAAACTGGACTGAACTGTGTACACTGGTCTATTTAGCCCCTGAAATAGAAATTGCACCTAACAACCAATCTTTACCAGTTCCCCTATCTGCATATACCAAATCCAAACGTGGTCTTAATGTGATTCCCCTTCTTGTAACTTTAGGTGTAACAGGAGTAAGCATAGGCATTGGGGGCCTAACCACCTCCCTGACACATTACCAAAGACCTAGCAGACAGCCTAAATGAGATCGCCCAGAGTAGAATGATGGTGCAAGATCAAATAGACTCTCTAGCATCTGTTACTTTACAGAACTGAAGAGGTTTAGAGCTTCTAACAGCTGAAAAAGGAGGACTATATCTCTTCCTGGAAGAGGAATGCTGTTTTTATGCCAACCAGTCAGGGATAGTAAGGGACACACCAAAGATATTACCTGATTGAGTCTCCAGGATCTGACAGGAACTATCTGAATCCTGGGGCTCATGGTTACAAAAATTAAACTGGATGGCTTGACTCCTCCCCCTATCAGGACTCTTAATAATAATCCTTCTTACTGTTCTTTTTAGCCCTTGCAAACTTTGAACTCTTTCTTTCTTTTTACAGAACTGTATACAGACAATCACCAACAAATCCATGGCAGACATGATGTTTCTACATTCCACTGTGGGATACCAACCGTTGTCCTAAACTCCTCCCTAGTAGGGACAACTCTATGCCCACTCACAGCATGAAGCAGCTATAGAAGTCAGACTTTTGCCCCTCAACACCCCAAGGGGGTGGGGAAAGGAGGAGAGACTGGAGGTTAGTGTGGCTGAGATCTGGCAGGGCGGCTGCTCAGTGGACAGCCCCAGTTATCTCTGTAACTACCATGGGCTTGGGCTCCAGCAGGGAAGTCAGACATCCTCCTCTTGAAGCCTCCTGGAGCCCACCAACCACAAGCCCATGTCACACAGTGGGTGGGCACTGCATGGCAACATGCACCCTCACGGGCTCTCAACCCCTTGGCTGTGCCTGGGATGCCCCAGCCTCAGTTTCTGGGTAGGGATCCTGTTCCAACTGAGATGGCAGCTGGTGGGACTCCAGTGGCAGCAACAGTGGCTGTTGTGGGAAGGTGCACTATTCCTGAAATCTTTCCTATGTTCTTCCTACTGCTCTACAGAAGCAGCCTTGGGCATGCTCTCCCTGTGCACAGCCGCAGCTGAGAAAAAAGAAAAAAAAGACAAAAAACCCTCTCTCCATGCATATCCATGCTCTTCCCTGTGCCCTTCCCTGGCAAGGGTCTTCTGTGGCTGCTCTGCAGAATGCAGGTGCAGGTCCATGGAGTGGCTATTCCTGTGCCCTTCCCCCCCACAGAGTCTTCTGTGGCTGCTCTGTGGAATGGAGTGGCAGGCGCATGGCCCATGGCTTTCCCCATGCTCCTCTCCTGAGTCTTCCCTGGCTGCTCAGCAGAATGCAGCCACACAGCAGCAGACACACTCTCCCTGCACTCCAGTTGTGGCTCAAAAAAAAAA